GTCATCTTTGTGAGCGTTTTTGAACATGTTCTGATGCTGACAGGGACATAAGACCTTCATTTTGTGAAAGTAGACATTTCAAAGTACTCGAATCCGTTAAAAGCCCAATTTCGATCTAAGACTAAAAAATGACGTCATTTGATCATGGCCTTCCCCCGCATCATGCCTTAAACCACATCAGAAGAGCTTGAGCCACAGCATCTGCATCGGGTAGTCTCATCTTCTTTCGATCCAGAGAAAACTTTCCAATTTCCATTGGAGTAGCCTACTATGCTGCCACTAACTTCTCTTCTATATCCTTGATAATAATAGTGGGAGTCGACCCTTGTGGAATGTCGAACTGACGACAAATCTCTGCCAGTGGAGCTTGCTTTTTGTCAACAGCCTGGATTATTTCGTATTTTTTGTCAATTAAAAGGCATTTTCTCTTGCGCTTGACATCGTTGGTGACACATTACGCGTGCGCGTATTCATGTAAAACCTCGCCAGTTGAGAAACTTGGTTATCTTGCGAAACAAAGAATGGGAGAGCCCACGAGTGCTTAACTAACATGCCTCTCATTTCTCCCAGTACAGCCAAACCTGTTTAAGACGGCCACCCATTGTCACGGAGAAAAGTGGCCGTATAAGAAGACAGGTGGCCGTCTTAGGCAGGACTGATCAAGATGAATTTAAGAAGAAAAACCATTCCCATCTGAGGTCCCAATCAAAAGTAGCCGCATTGTTGTTGGTTTGTATTTTGTTTGTAATTTTTATTTTGTTGCTGATTTTGCACAAGGGTGACAAAACAAAATGTATCAAACGAGGAAGACCGAGTGCCATGTTAAAACAAACACATGGGTCGCCACCACTCGGAGAACGAGCGACTCTTCTGTCAAAAATTCATGTTGACGTCCTTTGTTACAGACAGGGTAAACAGTGACCACTCATCTCACGATTTGTGTATGAGTTCTGGGCGGGGTTTATGGGTAATGAGGGATCACAGCCTTTCCTCACCAGCAGCTGAAAATTGGTCAACAGTGGGAGGGGCCTACGTAACATCATACATGATCGGTTGGAGGGACTACCTAACAACAACGACAGGTGATTGAATTATGAAGGCTCCCCCACAATGCCAGGGGCCAATACTTTATGACAAAACGTAATGGAGTGACTAAGGTGGCCGTCTAAGACAGGTGTTATTGCTTAGTGTGATAGGGGTTGTGTGTTAAAATATGGTGGCCGCGGCCGCGTTGGACAGGTGCCAGTTTTACAGTTAAATTATATAGAAAAAACGCAAGGGGGGAAATGGAAAGTGGCCGTTTGTACAGGTGGCCGTCAGGGCAGGTTTGACTGTAGTAGTAGTAGTAGTAGTAGTAGTAGTAGTCTAGGGTTCTACGGCGCTCGCAACTGCATAAGGTTATATGAGCGCGCAAAACACAAGTTGGTCTTGTTCACAACAGTTCGCTGTACGGCTGGCTTGGGTCAGTAGTTAAATCTTAAAATGTTTTAAAATCAGCGTAAATAATTTTAATATAGATCTATATATATATATATATATATATTTTTTCGATCTAAAACTAAAACAATTTTTCTAGTTAATATAAAAATTCTAAATAGTATCAATTTCACTTAACAATTTGCCATAAAGGCCAATGGCCTTTATAAAATTCAAAATTCTGCTGGGAACAACGACGGAAAAAATGTCTTGGAATTTCTTGCATTTATAATATTTCCTTCGGATCTCTCCAAAGTCTAGACATTCGGTTAAGATGTGTCTAATGGGCGGTGTGGTATGTTCCCATTGTGCGTAAGGAGACGGAACGCACCACAGGGTGTGGTGGGGTGGGGGACAACACAGCGGGCAAGGTAGCCGAGAGAACTATTGTTTTGATCGTCAACGCCGAGCTGTCAATATCGCCATCGTTTGAGAAAGAAACCTGAATCGATTTTTGATCGAGTAAGACTTAAAGGTCATGTTGAACCAAATCATCATCGGGGGAGATTACAAAAAGAAATAAACCGAAAACCAGACTCATAGATTAGGCCTATTTTACTATTTCCCTTGATTTTATTACTGGAACTTTTATTACTGAATCATGCTATAACTGACATTTGGCACCAGTCGCCTCCATCTCAATTTTACAGGATTCCAATACGTATAAAATACAAGATGTTCCATTGTAATTAATTTGTAAACATAGAAAGATCTTCCCTCCTTCCCAAGGGAAACACCTGCAAACCTAAAGCACACTATAGATCCGATCCAACCATGAAAGCTTTTTTCTGCGACTGCTTTATTAGCATTTTGTGCTCAATTTAACCACCAAAGTGTAAGATAAAAAAAAAAGCAAGCAAAACGCTGTGACAGAAGTTTGCACTTGAATATAGATTTAATTAAGATAAAAAGCATGACAATCAGTGTAATGTCACAGGTTTCTCCTAAAGCAAGTAGCTCTAGAGCACTAGGGAAGAGATTACGGACACAATGGCTACATGTAAAATGTGATCACAACACTTAAAAGAAGCCAAGTGCCACATATCCCACTCCTCATAGCAAACTGATCCAGGACATCTAATTAACTCAAAGAGGCCCAACACGAAAAAAGTTCGCTACACATGTATATATATATATATGTAATATATATTTGTCCACACTGAATGCCAAAGATATGTTTAATCAGTGATTAACTATGAGATTATGCTGAAAGTCTAAATATTTTCCTGGCCAGATAACCCATTTATTCAACTAAGACGAAGCAGAGAAAAACTGGAAGAATGTTAATGACCTGTTACACAGAAGCCAGAGAGTTTTCAAAGTGTTACTTGGGGAATAGGTCATGGGTGTGGGAGGGGGAAAATCACAGCAGACTTGATTGAACATATGATCAGAGTCCCGTAACATAAGTGACAAAACCTATTACAAGTGCAAACTGTTCATTTGTACGCATAAATCACTAAAAGCCAGAAAAAAAAGTAAAAAAAATGTTCAACTATATAAAGTCATTATAAATTAAGAGTAATGTATTTATTTACCATGATACATATCTCAAATTAACAGACTTGATATATAAATGGGGAAAGATAAACGAAAGAAACACTGATAACACCTAATTAATTTACTATGGTAAAACGCCCAAGCCGGCTGACATGGAAAGTGACATTAGTGAAAGACGCACGTTGGTCCAATGCAATCTTTGCTATCTTCCCTCCTTTGTGCACAAAGCTATGAGCACTCAGCAAGTACTCGAAACACAATCCACAGCATCAGTCACAGTACAAAAGTTAGCAAATATGCATTATACCTGTCCTGCTTATAAGATTAGAAGTATTTCATACAAAAAGGAACCCCATTGTCTTCCATTCACTTAAATCTCATTGATCATTCCATTCTTCCGTTCTTGGCACACCTGGACAGTGAACAAGGAAAGCATTCAGCCTGCTTGTTCCCTTTGATCTTCTCAACAGATTCCAGAAACCCCAGCGGAAAAAAGGGGTTTTAATCTATGAAATTAGGGCCTACACAGTAAACACTTCCACAGGAACATGAAGTTCGAGTTTGTCACTTAAGTTTTCTTTTTTGTTTAAATCCTCAAATATAAGGGCCAATAAGTGCATTGGTGAAATGAAAAAATTGTTCTAAGTGGTCAAACCACATCTTTACATATATTATACAGCTATCTGTACAGACAATAACATTTTTACACACATGCAGTATCATTCATATCAGGACACGGGCTGCAAAGAAACAATGAGACATAGTGAGTGGAGGCAAACAAGTACCTACAGAACAAAATTGTAACCTTAGCTTCAAGAGGGGATGGAAAAGGAAAAGAAGCATCATTCTCAAAGAGTATGGCAATGACAGGTTTGAAGTACATGAAGATGAATCCGACAATTAGTAACTCAGGTAGGAAGCTGGCTGCTAACAAAAACAAAAGTAACCAAACAAAACTTCACACACATTCGACAATATCGCCATCACTTTTTTTCTTCTGCACCAAACCTTTTACGACTATAAGAACACCACACTTGTCAAGACAAAGGTTTAAAATTACACTTCATATTTTAAATTTGAGAAGACCAAACAAAATCTAGAATGTACAAGCTACAACAAGCTTGAAGATTTAAAACTTGGTTTTTCAGGTGTTTAATTTCGAACTCAAGAGTATCAAATGTGAAAACATTGAAAATATTGCTGAAATTTATAGACTATAGGAGGAGGGTGGGGAGGAAGAATAGATGGAAAATGGAGGCAATGAATGACAAGTCACAATGACATGTTTCTACTTTCCCAAAGGCCAGATAATTCTCGGGCCAAATGCTACTGCCACAATCATCACTGCAACAACCACATACTCTTTCAAAAAGTCATCCACATAGGGAAATGGCCATACAAACTTCATTCGCAGGCCACCCACGGGAGAAAAAAAAATGTAAAAAAAATTCACCCAGTCACAAACCTGGGGTGGAGCCAAGATCTTCACATATGGTAGCAGTTTTGGTAAGAAAATGACAAACAATAATTCATATCAAATTATAGTACGCTAAGTCAACACAGCCTTAGGATGCTTCCTCTCCTGCTTCAAGATCTTGCACTTGGTCTTGCGGTTGTTCACCTGTACACAAAATAACGAAATAAGGTCAGCAAATTGACAACGGAAAGAGAGAGCTTTACATGTAAAGTAAAAACATTTAGTATCCGTCTAAAACCCTGAATTCTTAATTAAAATTGAGATACTAGAAAAAATTAGATTGGTTCATTGTTTTATTTACTGTGGTTTTAATTGTTAGATTTTTACTGAAGTTTGAAAATGTTATTTATATATGAAATGAATGCAGTCTGAACAAAAGGGGAAAAGGTTTTTAGGACCAACTCTATGAGTCTTGTGTGTGATCCCTGACTCCGCTTCAAAGTATCATTAGTAGACCCAGCCGTAGATCTAGCCTCTGGTAGTTCTAGTGGTGATCCCCTGCCACTTCCATAGACCTGCATGTGAACCTCAACCAGATTGAAAATTTTGCGCACCCCTCCTTTTAAATTGTGGGTGTCATAAAAGGAAGGACTTCCGAATAACGAGCGACCACCCGAACAAAGACAATATAGAAGAGACCTAACCCTAACCCAAACCCAAAAAAGAACCCGCAACAGCCCTCATGTAAAAAGGCCAGCACAAGTTGTTTTTTTAAATAATTAAAAAATAAAAAGCACACTCCAAAACAAACAAGCCTACATTGCTATAAAAAGAGTTTGATACACTAATACACAGAATAGGAATATGAATCCTCCATATCCTTTTGGAGGGTTGAAAATAGCATTTGGGAGCCCGTTTGAAAAGATTGCCTACAACCCATAACATTTATTTTTCACCGTTTTGTTTGATTTCTTCACCTACATATGACATCTTTCCATTGCTGGCAATGTTTAAAAGCAGGTTTTCCCCTTCCATTGCTAGTACAATTCAATTAATTTGTCATCGCATCATTGACAGAAGACAAACCTGGGAATAATGAATAATGTACCTTCACAATACAGTTACCCAGCGTATACCCTAATTTTCCTCAAGTTTCACGTCTGAATGTCGCATGTTACAACCTCGGAACATCACTTCGAATTATTCTTGATGTTAGTAGTTTTAGCGCAAATTTCTTTCATCACTGCCCTTATCGTGTTCCCGTGCCGTAGAACCTGCGCACAGATAATTTCTCTAGAATCTAGATCTAGACAATAAAATAGCAAAAAAGTTTCTTTCTGGGGGTCATTTTGTCTAAGATCACAAGTCAATAAACTTGACCCAGGGTTCCTGCCATGAACTTCCCACCAAATTCAAGGAGATTTGAAGGAAAAAAATTTTTTAATTCAAGGAGATTTGGTCAAGAAATTCATGACGAAAGCCTACACTTGTCCGAAAGGAACCATATCATAGTTTCGATTTTCCTACAAAAACTGTTCCCAGGGTGATTGCCAACACCGTTTCTCAATTTTCCGGGGGGGGGGGGGGGCTCATCCATTCTCCAGGGGCATGTTACATAACAATGACAGTGCATGCTCCATTTATATATTATATAATACACACACACACGTGCTCACGCATGTAGGTACATTATATCTATTCAGCAACATGATGTCAGTGTGGCACTGGGATACTGTGACTTAAGTATTTCAGTCTGTTCTTATACTTATTTATATTTTCCCCTCATCATATTTGCCTATGTTAACTATATAAAAATACCGGACCAGCGGACTGATTTTGCCTATGTCTCAACCTCAGGAATTCATGATTTTCCCCAGTTTTTATCTCTCAATGGAGAATCTCAGACCGGTAGATCTATTCATTAAAATTTTGTCAGGGGGGAGACCCCCCACCCCCTCTTCCACCCGCCCCACATTCTCACGCAATAATGTACATGTATATGAGTGGTCCGGTATTCTTCAATCTTCCCCACACGGCTTAAAAGGTTTGCACCAACGCACGCTTTGCAGAGAGCTTTAGATAGTAGACTAGTAATCAAAATTCTGAAAAGTAAAATCTGCTTCCAAGTTTAGTTTTTGTAATCCGGTGTTGCCCTTAACACCCCCCCCCCCCAAGCACGTGCATCTTGAAAAAAAAATATCAATAATTCCCCCGTTCCCGAGTCCTATACTTCGCAGAGCTCAGACTGCATGAACTTTGGTGACCTCAACCATCGCCGATACTCACGATGAGACGAAAACGCACAGGTTCAATGACCGGTCACGATAGCGAGCCCGACAAGAAGCTTATATAACTTTCTTCTTTATTTTTTCACAAGTGACAACACAGGACAAACGATTTATTTTCATGGCGACACCGCGTTTGTAATGCAGAACAAACGTGGCGCTATCAGACTACTATAGGCCCCACCGGCAAATTTCTTAGTGGTAACGAAAGCGAAAGTAGATCTTGATTTTCCCGATCGAGCTTCAGTATCGCACGTACACTTCCAGTTGTTGACGGCATAATCGCCCGTGTGCGTGTAACGTACTCTCAGTCCGGGAAAGGCCGAATAAACATTATATCACAATCGCGACTGGCAATTTCAAGGTGCAATTTACTGATTTCTTTAAATTCCCGTTGCATTCCGGGTCTCGGCGATTTTTTTCAAATTCCTGGGTAATTCCAGGTGCCCCCCCCGGATTCCCGGGGCCTGGCGGTCACCCTGTACACGTGTTCCTGTCCGATCTGGCAAAATTCAAGGAGTTTTCAAGGAGATTTTTCCTTGAAGGCAAATTCAAGCAGTTTTCAAGGACTCCTTGAATTCAAGGAGGCCGCGGGAACCCTGTTGACCAACGCACAGATTTTCCAGCCGCAGCAACAATTCGAAGATACACAGACGGAATGAGGGAATGATAGAAAGGAGGAAAGTGGCACAAAAAGTTCGCCAGATTTTGACCAATCTGCAGATAAAAAATGTACTGCCGACCAACCCCGCAATGAATGCATGGGGCATAGCAGAATAATGGCCAATTGCATGAAATGCGCAATCTGGAAGGTTTCTATAACACTAACTTATTGCCGAGAATAACTGTAAATATTCCAAACTTATACAAGACGATACGAAGGCGAGTATCTTTTGCTACGGAATTTCTGTAGTCCTACCATGTCGCAGATTTTTTACGGAAGGAGTTGATAATGATGGAGGAACAAGTACGGAACTAGCAGAAAGTACAGATATCCGTTAAAAAATACGAAGAGTGGAAGCACTGATCGATGACAAGACGCACACGGCCTGTACCGAGAAGCCGTCTTTGCAATTCACTTCCGCATTTTTACTAGGCAATCATTGCCAGAATATTGGCTTTCAGTGCTCCCACCAGCTGAAGCTGAAAAGTAAGGAAAATTGAGCCGGGGGTTTGGGGGCCGCAGAGGCCCCCAGCAGGGTCAAGGGACAGTGTCCTGGTGGGGGTTCAGAGGGCTAAGACCCCGAAGAAATAGAAATTTAGTACTTTTAGAAGATTGAAAAATGGCATTTGGGAGCCTGTTTGAAGAGATTGCCAACAACCCATAATACCTATTTTTTTCACCAAGATTTTGTCTTGTTTGATTTCTTCACCAACGCATCTTTCCATTGCTGGCATTCTTTAAAAGCAGGTTCCTCTTCCATTCAATTAATTTGTCATTACACCATTGATAGAAGGCAAACCTGGGAATAATGAATATACCTTCACAATACAGTTACCCAGCGTATACCCTAATTTTCCTCAATTTTCACGTCTGAATGTGGCATGTTACAACCTCAGAACACCACTTCGAATTATTCTTGATTTTTAGTAGTTTTAGTATAAATTTCTTTCATCACGTTCCCATGCCGTAGATCTAGAATCTTCACATTGATAATTTCTCCAGATCTAGACAAATTTGCAAAAAAAGTTTCTTTCTGACAGTAATTTTCTGTGTAAGATCACAAGTCAATATACTAGATTAATGTGCAGATTTTCCAGCCGAGGCAACAATCTGAAGACAGACGAACGGAATAAGGGAATGATAGAAAGGAGGAAAGTGGCACAAGAAGTTCGCCAGATTTTGATCAATCTGCAGGTAAAAAATGTGCTGCCAAACAACCCGTACAAAGGGCATAGCGGCATAATGGCCGATGGCAGGAAATGCGCAATCTGGCAGGTTTCAATAACAAACTATTGTCCAGAGAATTATCGTAAATATCCGTAACTTATACTATACAAGACGATATGAAGGTGAGTACGGATCTTTTGCTACAGAATTTCGGTAGTCCTATGCTGTCGCAGATTTTTACGGAGGGAGTTGATAAAGATAGAGGGACAAGTACAAAACTAGCAGAAAGTACTGATTTCCGTAAAAATACGGAACAGTGGAAGCACTGCCTTTGGTTGCCGGCTTCACAAATTGTAAGTTGGGCAGAATTCTGGCTCGGCGATAAGCCGGCAACTGACTCTCGCACCCAAACTAAGGGAAAAAATTGGTCAGCCGAGAGGAGAAAAAAAGAAAGTCGGGAACATGGGGCGGGGCGCATCAATGAGGCGGGAGGTGGGCACCGTATCACCAGATACGGTCTGGAGGAAACTAAAAAATGGCGGAAAATTGGAAGCATTGAACATAGACGTAAACACTTCCTAGTCCAAAATGGTTAAAAAGTTGCGTTCTAGGTCTATAAATCAGGGATGCCAAATGATTTTTTTTTTTTTAACCTGAAAATGAGCGGAGCATCTCACCTAAACCGCACCTTGTAAAGCCTTTAAATGAGAATATACACACTGTACGCTTCACTGTCCGCACCCTTTTCCAGATTCAGCAAGCCATTTTGCAAAGAATTTGTTTTTGCGAGCCGGCGTGGACCCATCACCACCTAAAAGTCACAACTCTTGTAGTCCTATCTTCGCTGCAAGTCTAGATCTAGGCCTCTCTTTATGCTGAGTCTCAGCGCGGCGGGCGATTATATAACACAAACATCCTGTAGGGCTTGTGAGGTGTGTTTTGGGGGGGGGTGGTTAAAAACCTGAACTCTCGTTGAAGAAACGAAATCCGACTGAAAAATTCCAACGGATGAAAAAAACCCGGAAAAACCGGACATTTGGCATCCTTGATAAATAGAGAAGACTTTCTCGCACATGACACTACTGTTAATGATGTAGCTAGAAAACGGGGAAAACTGCACAAAAGTAGCGCTTGATTTTCGCGATCGAGCCTCGATATTACGCCTGCCATAGCCGCTGGTTCATGTGAAACGCACTCTCAAACCAGGGAAAGCCGAACGAATTATATCACAAACACGACCGACAAAGTGAACTGACTGACCGTATCAGATACATTTTTCAAATATTCGAGTACATGTATTTTCCTGGGTCTTTGCGATTTTTTTTCAAATTCACAGGTAAATCCCGGGGCCTGACAGTCACCATGTTAGTCGAATCTGCGGACCGCTTTCGGGCTCATCTCAGGCTACTCAAGGCCCATTGCGGCCAGACTTAACTGTCTCCGGCAAACCGCTCCCAGAGACTCAGGCACATTCCTTTACGACGATTTCGACATCAAATTACTTTTTGGCAAGATCTATTTTACCGGAGGTTCATTAGATGAACTATCAAAATAGGTTGCTAGTTCCGATTTAATCAAGTTTTTGCCATTTTTAGATTTAGCGCCAAAAAAAGGGGCCTTCGCGGAGTGGGTTTACCCCCCTCGGAAATAAAAGTTAAGGCCAGCGCGGATTTCGGGAAATTCTTGCAATCGCGGCTTCAGATGTCTACATTGGTGCGGTACTTGAGGATTTTTCCCAATATGAGCCTTCGGTACTATAAGTGTTAAACTTGGCTAAGTGTCAAACATGGGCAGTTTCTTGCAACACGAAATAAAATTAGAATTTCATATCCATGCATTTGACTATTTGACAAAATAAATCAGTTTATTTTCAGTTACACCAATACACATTTTGGATGAAATGAATCAATAGGCCACTATCCAAAAAATTCACACAAAACACCTGGCCGTTCAGCTCTTTACATTATCCACACAACCACAAGACTAGAATAACCCTATTCCACAGAACCACTTAGTCCATATATAGTCTTAACTTTGGAAATCATCAACTAAATACAATAACAGGCAAGACAAGCTACAAACAAAATAAAATTGACACCAAAACATTCCTTAACCCTTTCACCCTCAGAGCTATCCCTGCCCAACAAGGCTGAAATTCTGGCAAAAGGGACCTAACTCCGCTTAGACTGCATGACTATATTATTTTTAAAAATCATTAAAAATCAGAGGATGAGTCTAAAATTACAGTTTAGGTGTCAGAGCACAGATAAATGAATAAACTACAAGAAAATGTATGGTTTTGTACGAAAAATCATTGTGTATTAGGTAAAAAAAAATTCTGAAGAGAAAAAAAAAAACCCCAAAAGACACAACCCGCTTTTTTTGCCCGCAGAAGTTCATGATGTTTTACCCAGAACAGCCTTTTGCAAGGCCTAACCTGGCCCAAATTGCATCCTGTCACTGTCTCACTCCCTCTGCCTAGCTTTGTAAAGTTTCTGGTCTTTACACAGTAGTGGCACGACCCCTTTTAACCATGTATCCTAATCACAACATGCTCTAAAGGATTTGTTGTGACAGAGCCCACAGTCCCAGTGTTGCTCCTCCCTTTTTTACGTCATAGTGCAGCTTGTAGTACTAGATCTAGCTAAAGTGCTGTGGGTGCTAGGCCTATCTTCTTCATCAGTCTTCTAAATCATCACCTCCAGCTACGATCTCAGCATCAACATCACTATCATAGTTGTTCCCCTCCCCCTAGAGCCTAGATCTAGACCTGCGACATCGTGTTCGCTCTCCTACTATAGTTCTCGCTCTCTCTCTCTTTCATGACTGAGTGTCCGAGTGACTACTTGTACTACTAGCACTAGATCTGGCCCCTTGGTCGACGATATCGGCATTTAAATCCCAATTATAAGTGTCTCCATCGTATACAGTGCCTGTAGCGACGCAAAATTTCATCCACGAAGTTAGATTTAGGTTTCTAAAAAGCACGAAATTTAAAAAATCGCCGCTCTCACGTGCTTCGATCGATTTTCACCAAATAAACACGACAGTAAAGGGCAACCACTCTAGATTCTCGCTATAAGCTCGGCAATCTCGTGCGACCTCGCAGGAAGCGAGACAACGTAGAAACGAAAGTAGTGCAAACGGGTGAATCGAGTGGGCGTGTCGGAGCACATCGGCGACTACGGGGGTTAGCGATGACGGCGCACATCGGCGCCTCCGAGTGGCAAAAGGTTAAACAATGACCTATCACCTTGAATTCACAAACAAAATCTGAAGTCAGAAATGAGCAAGATCCGACCAAGAGGAAAAATTAGTAGAAAAGACTTTTTTTTTACATGTCAGCCTTCACTGTTGTACACTGACAAACAAACACAATTTTGATCAGAGATTGTGATTACCTTCGTTATCTCCTTGCATGTCAGAGGTCCACAGTGTGAGATTGTCACGCAGCAACTGCATTATCAGAGTTGAATCCTTGTAGCTCTCTTCACTTAATGTGTCCAGCTCTGCAATGGCATCATCAAAAGCAGATTTAGCCAGCCTGCAAGCGCGGTCAGGGGAATTGAGGATCTCGTAGTAAAATACTGAGTAGTTGAGAGCCAGACCCAGACGGATTGGATGTGTGGGTTGCAAATCTGTCAGAGCAATGTCTGTCGCAGCTTTGTATGCCACTAAACTGTTCTCAGCAGCTTCTTTCCTGTCGTTGCCTGTAGCGAACTCAGCTAAGTACCTGTGGTAATCTCCCTTCCTGTAGATGAAAAAAAACAAAAAACAAATAACATGAATATAATACAAAACACGATTATGCAGCAACATGACCAAGTGGACCTAAATTATCTATTACTCATCATATAATCAATATGCTAAGATTTTTGTTCAAATTTATTTAAATGCCTAAGAGACCTAACCACCAAAATAACCCAACACTTCATACAAGGCAATTTAGATCAAGCAAGAAATCTAAAACCTTGGAAAGCGTCGCATCTAAAAGGCCTATTACGATCGGATACATTTTTTTTTGTATGTTTGAAACTACTGAAACCTAGACAGACTAACTTTTCCACACAAAATATTTGTTTTCCTGCTGTAACAGTATATAATTTTTCAAAGAAGTTGTTCCGGGACTGGGACTGTACAGCCCCCTTTAGCTGCTGCAGCTTACTCAGGGACTGCAAAGACAGTTTGTCATATTAAATCTTGAACGTGCATCATCTTAGCACATTACACCCTAGGCCCAGCATTATTGATTATTTTCTCATGGTTACTAATATTTTATGACAAAACGCTCTGAACAGGAAAATGATGATTCCGATCGAGATGTCGACGTTTTTAGATTTTAGTTTATAAAATGTGAGGCAGCGTGGTGCAATCAGGCTCTTGTCAAAATAATGAAATCAAAGAAAACAGAAGTTCCTGCTTAGCAATTTTTATCAAATTTTTGTTTTTTCTCTCAACACCTTTTATGTCCATTTACAAACACATTCCTTTGAGGATTTCACCCAAAACGTTGATTAAAGGCATAAAAATATAAATTTACAGATCCCGGGGACTCTCCAGCTTTGGAATTTACCAAGATTTGGCGGCCATTTTCTCCCTAATTTTACCTCTTAAACCAGGTGACCCCCACCTCCTTCAATCCAAAATATCTCCACTTCTACGAAAGACGGATGGGTAATTTTTTCATTGAAAGCAAGACAAATGAACAAGCTTTAAGATGATACCAATAACTCAATATGCCCAAAAACTGACGAGAGCCCGATTCCACCACGCTGCCTCACAGATGTTATTTCTCAATCTTTTTCAATTCTGTTTCAAAGATTTGAAGAATACTTTTTTAATTTGAAGAATCCAGGATTCTACTTTAAGTAGCATCCTTAAATACAATTACTCATACACATGATGTACCTCAGTCAAAACTCAATTTTCAAATCTTCAGTGTTTAGTTTAAAACATTACACAGGGTAGACTAACATTATCGACCGGTTAAAAGAGCTAGCCATCTCTTATTATAATTCTCTGGTCGGCAGCAACAACAAGACTACCTACATAGGCCTAGCATATGCCAACTCCGACAGCTACCTTTACTTATTTTCTCATATTTTTACCCCAAATCCAAGCCATTTTTTTCAGATTTCCAGAAAATGTTCCTCCTTTTTTTTTTCAAGTTTCGATTAAAAAGGTGTCGGAGCTTTGAAAGCAGCTACCGCTACTATTGCCACTCCTGCTACGACGACTTATACACACTGAAATTGCAGCATAGAACCAGATGGACATACTAATATGGGAGGTAAATGATAATGGCTTGTTGACCTCGACCAAAAGGTCAAAGGTTGTTTCTTTATTGCAGTCCCCCAGTGCGAAACGCTATGGTATTGCAGTCCCCTGGTAGATCTAAGCAGCGCTAGGGGACAGTTCCCTAACAACTTCCTTTTTGAAAATACCTACAAAGTAGCATTGTGTTGAAAGGAAATCATTCTGAATTTTTGACTCCTGGTGTTTATTAAATTTTTATCTAAAGATAAATACTTCACACACTACCACTACAGCCCTTAAATATTTGTTATCAACACTTAATGCAGTTGATAGAGCAGAAGTTTCGGCACCAACTATTTCTAAACAGGGTCCTTGAAAGAAAAAATACATAAAATGTCAGTGACCCCATCTATGAGCATTTTGATTTGAAAGAGAAACATATATTTAAGACAAAATGACAACCCATCATAGTTATGCAAAAACCTTCCCTAGGGTTAATATTGCTATGGATTTGCAATGCGGGAAAACCACTTTTTAACAATTAGTATGAAAATGACAAATGAGATACTTAAATCCATTCCTGTTCAACTCTGCCAGAAACTAAAATTCCATGTCGGTTTTTAAAATGGCAAGGCATGAGCCTCGTTTCTCTCTCAATGACAAGCCTGATTTTGATCAAAATAAAAACATTACATTAATGACTTGCTTTAATTTCAACGGAGAAAAGACTGTAAGAGCCCGCATCAGGAGTTAGAATTTACAGTGACCTAAAAGCAATTTACATTAGGGGGACAGCAATGGAAAAACAAAGCTTCTTTTCTGCCCATAACGTACAAGACTGTCCTAAAACAAATAGTTTGCTAGTATAAGATTGTATCAACAACTCAAAAATGCATATTTACATTTTGTAGTAAAAGACTTTTGATTCCCCAGTCTGTGCACTTGGAACAAGGTGGTGATCAATCACAGACAAAACATCCTTGCAGATACCGTTGAGTTCTTTTTCAATCTGAAAAATAGGAATGAAGAAAGTAAGTAACAGCTGTCAATGCTTAACATCCATTTCAAAGACCCTATTATCCTTTTGCCAAGGGAAGGTGAAAATTTTATCATGCAATAAAAAATCAGTTTAAAAAAAACCCCAGTTTTAATCCTCTAGCCGTAATTCAAGTTTCGATTCCACCTTTTTTTTAGTTAGAGATTTACGGCACTTGCACAATAATAAAGTTATATAAGTGCCGAAGATTAGGTGTTACAAGAGAGTAACAAAAACAAAAAAAGGAGGAGGGGAGATAAAGACAACAGATGTTTGATAGCAAAGAAGAAGAAAACCACACTAGAGCACCCGCCAACCACCTACTTCCATCCTGCATTTCCATTAGGGCAGAACATACATATTGACCAGTCAGTGTAAGACTCACCCATACACCAGTTTTCAAAATGGCATGTAACAGTCTTACATTAAGCAGTCGATATATTATACTGTCAAAACACAATCTATTCGCAGCCTAGATGAACTTTGAATATACGCAAAACAGATGTGACTTTGAGTTAATATATAATTTTTTAATTAATTAAGCAGAATATTTAAACCTTGTGAAATATTTCCACCACTTCTTTACACGAGTACATTCGTTTTGATCACTGAACACCCAAACCACAAATCTAGTCTTAAGGCAATTGCAACACTATCAGGCAATAGTGCTACTAAAGTTGTAACATACGAACAAAAAAAGAGAGTTAAGGACAATAAAGGTATGATCGGGAAGAAAGACAGCTAATCTTTAATTCTAAGTTTTAGAAAGAGGTTTACAGCGCTTGCAACAATACGGTCAAGTGCAGAAGATTAGAGGTGTTACAAGCAAGTAACAACCACAAAAAAGGAGGAGAGATAAGGGCGATAGATGTTTGATAGGAGAAAGAGGGAGCAAACCACACCATAGCTAATTCTGAAGAAACTCAGGCTATTCATAAATGTGTAAACATTGCAAAGAACTTTCCACCCTACCCTAAACAAGGGCAGGAAGACCAAGTCTCACAAAATGTGGACAGTCTGATACCTATTGATAATGAAAGCTACGGAGAATTGGCCGACTGTACACACCTGCTTTCTGTAATCCTTTGTGATCTGCTGTTTCTCCTCAGCAACTTTTCCTTCATCTTTTTGTTCTAGACTGCTCACAATCCGCCATGATGCTCTGCGAGCCCCAATGACATTCTTGTAAGCCACAGAAAGAAGGTTGCGCTCCTCAACAGTGAGCTCAGTACCCTGCTTGGCAACTTTTTTCATGGACTCAACCATTTCTGAAAAGCAAAAAAACAATCTTTAAGTAGTGGTAGTAACAAGACTAGTTTTAACCCTTAGAGCGCTGGTTGCGACCACCGGTCGAGACAGCCCGAACTTCTGCCAAGTGTTGATCGCGACCGACCTTATTACACGATATACGAAAAGGACGAAGTACTAATTTCTACACTGCTAACTGGAAGGGTACGTAGAATTGATTTCACCGGCCATTTTCATTGTCACAGGGTTTGAACAAGGAGCGGGGAGTTTTTTGTTTCACGTTGAAGTCAAGTGAGAGGGAAGTTGGAAAATTTGCAATGACGACCAGCGACAAACATGAAAATAGTGTCGCATCAGATTCAGATGAAGACATTTCGCGTATTTTCCTTGAATCGGAAGATGAAGATTTTGAGTTTTGATGCTAGAGCAGTTACGAATAAGGTGGTGTTGATCAGCTCTTAGATTTACTTCAGTCAAGCCCCGCGTGTGACGTTCCCATTGTCGAAGATGAGCGACAACGCTGGAGTAAAGATGACGAATTCGAAATAACAGAGCTAACAGAGGGACCACAGTTCAATTGGGTACTTGAAACTATATCTATGGAGTCTGTTTAGTATTTTCCACCCGATACAGCATAACTGTTCCAAAAGTTTGTGGCAGAAACGAATTCGTAATGTGCAAGAAGAGAGACAAAGAAGAGGTGATGCTCTCAGAGCCAAATCTCATCTTCACTTGTGGACTGACACAAACATTGGAGAAATGAAAGTGTTTTTTGGCCTGCTGTTACTGATGGGCCTAGTGAAGAAATCATCTCTGTGTTCATATTGGGTGACTGTTGATCCCAGGGCTACCCCATAACAAAAAGATGTAAAGGGATAGATTTTTATTGCTGCTGTCAAACCTCCACATTGCAGACAACGAACTGGATAACACTGACGCCCCGTACAAAGTGAGACCGCCTCTGTCGCATTTTCAGGAAGTGTTCAAACATACATACAAGAAACAAATATTTCTGTGGACGGGGCTATTTGCCCATTCAAAGGGAGGATCCTGTTTAAAATTTATAACCCAGCAAAGCCTAAGAAATTCGGGATAAAACTACATGACCGCATGACCTGAGAAGCCAGCTCTGAGTACTGCTACAGCTTTGATGTCAATCATGGCGCCACAGACTTAGCTGCTACTAGACAGGTTCCAGTGACAGCTACACAGACCATTAACATTGTAATAGGTTCGATGGAGTATGCCACTTTCTTTTGCACCATCTCTACATGGACTACTATTTCTTGTGGAGAGAAGGATGTGTGCATGTGGCACATTTCATGCCAAACATAGGTGTTCCTCAGGTGAAGACAAAACTCAGACCCTTTGACTTTGTACTCAGGCAAATGCTTGCCGTTCTCTCTAAGAGAAGAGACGTAAAAATGCTCTTGACCATTCATACTGCTAAAGGCCGTGTGACATACCACCCAAGCCTAACACCTGCTAGGCTACCGTGATGAAGCCAGCCGATATCAAAGACTACACTTCGCACATGGGAGGTGTCGATCTTATGGACCAGGTGTCCGAACTATTCAACATTGGCGCTCGTTCAAATGGTGGAGGAAACTAGCTTTCTGTTTAACCAAGCGGGCAGCCACAAATGCGTACATTCTATATGATATCGCAAGTTCGGGGACAAAAACCAGTGCCTCACGACCAAGCCATGGAGAAACTAGTGACCCACCTGATTGCCCAAGGCAATGACATTCAAACAGAAGCCAGGAAAAAAGTCGCCGTTCCCAGTCTTGCCCCCACTCCCCAAGAACCGCGGCTCACGGCACATCCCTTCTGTGACAGGATTCCAGCACAGAAGGGGCAAGGCACAAACACCCTATGCCCGATTGCGTCGTTTGCAAGCCTCCCTCATAACAAAATAGCCAATTTCAAGCGAAAACGGACAGGATTTTGTAGCCCAGACTGCCGTACCCACGTGCATCCTGAGAGGTTTAAGACTGTATCACAGAGCTGGACTACTACAAGGCCTATTGACTTGAGATGGAGGCTGAGCAACAGATGGAAATGAGAAAAGTGGACAGAGTATAGCCAAAATGGAAGAGGAGAAATGCAAGACAGGAAAGCGAAGAGAAAAACTGCGAGAAGAGCTAAAGAAGCAAAGTGGAGAAAGAAAATAGAGGATGCAAGAAGAGAGGAGACTAGCCAAGGAGAAGGGGACGGAGAATAAAAAGAAGCAAGAGAGGAGACTAGCCAAGGAGAAGGGGACGGGGAATAAAAAGAAGCAAGAGAGGAGACTAGCCAAGGAGAAGGGGACGGAGAATAAAAAGAAGCAAGAGAGGAGACTAGCCAAGGAGAAGGGGACGGAGAATAAAAAGAAGCAAAAGAAAAGTGCAAAGTGAAAGGAAACAAATACAAGAAGAGGTTGAGCGATTCAGACTATGATACAACTTACAAGTGCAGATATCAAAGAAAGTGAAATGATACTGTTTGATGAAGATGACCTGCAGTTGGAAGATTTCATGGAAGAAGAATGTTCGACTGAGGAATCCATGCTTGCCTAAGTGGGGGTTGTGGAAGGACATGAAACTCCACAGAGAACGCTTGAACTTGATGAAGGATCAAGAGTGGGACCACAGACAGAGAGAAATAGAAAGTGTTGCTGTTGACAATGAAGGCATAGAAAACAAAACACAAGTGGTTGAAGCATTTATAAGAAAGAAAAAAAAGACATGCTTGAGAGTGACGGAGATGGGAACAAAAAGACCAGTGGTCGGAGTTGAAGAGAATAATATGCTATGCGTGAGATGAATGAAAAAGAGGTGGAGGACTGCAACATGGTCGGAACTGAAACGAAATGCCAGCATTGGCTGAAGCGGAAGGAAAGCCAGACACTGTGCACGAGAGTGGGGATTCATTTGGTCAGCATGGTGGTTTATGTAGATCGTACCTTGAGGCCAGAGGCGTGAGACTTGTCCGTTTTGCTCTTATCAAAAGTAGACGTAATCTAGATCTACCACTCTTGCATTTTTTTGCAAAGACCTCACTGTCATCGATTTCCTTTTTGTTTTCATGCCCTGATCAAAAGTAGATTGAATCTCATTTAAGTTGTATGTACCATTCTTTAATTTTGAACGTCCCCGTTTGCATTCTGAGTCACTGATTTCCATTTCGTTTGCATGCTCAGATCAAGAGTCTGTTGAATCTCATTAAAGTTGAATGTAGGCCTACCATATTTCAAATTGCACCTTATGCGTTTGTTACTGATTTCCTTCATTGTTTGTCATGTTTTCAAGTGTTTGAAGCTTGTTTAAGGCCTGGCCACATAACGGGCATGGATTCGGCCGCACCTATGTCAGGTGGCCGCATCGTTGGCTCGTCGTCGGCCGCACCGAGGGTTTGTTTACTTGTGTGAAGGACCGACATCACTGCACAAGGAGAATCCCCATAAGCGATCCGTCCCCTGAAGAAGCACATCTCGAAGTGTGTAGATGCTGACGGTTCCAAGCAATGGTTGATTCCATAGCCTTCTGCTCCTTCCACAAGTTTTGAACTTCTGCAGGCGCCCCATCCGATTCCAAGCTCACGAAGTCGCTCAAGATGATGGTATTCCAACTCTTCTTGTACTATTTCTGGCGTTTCCCTGACTGAACGTACAATTTCAGATTTGCCAGTAAGTCCTGACACAAATAATAGCACTTCAGTACGACAAACAATCTACATAACAAACAAGTTCTTTGGATAATATCCAAGTGTACTGTGACTTGACAGCCAGGACTTCAATCTGTTCTTGCCATCAATTATAATAATGGTAATTATACAGTCTTCCCTAAAGAATCCAAGCTCAAGACACTTTACAATAAAAACGATCATTTTTAGTGAGCTGAGGTTTTAAAACTCCCAGCTCTGAAAACAACCTCCCCCGACAAGAAAAGGTATAATTAGCTCAGAAGTCAAACTCCATATACCAACTCCGCCAGGTTTTACCAATTAACATAGAACGCCTACATAAACATACTACAGTGGAACCTGCCTAAACTGAAACCTGTACCAGACCATCCCCCACCTCCTCAATAAATTTCTCTACAATTACCTCTATAAAACGGAACCCTGCTCAAACTGGAAACAGAAAAATTCCTTCCCTTCAAAAGGTTTTAACCTGTAGCAAGATAGAAAATACTTTGCTAGCTCAACCATGAAAAAACAAAAACTAAGTTTGTTTTTATCTGCTCTAACTTTTACGCCACACTGCCAAAGGATGCGGTTTTGGGGTAACTGTTACTCCAACCTTGTTAGCCCTGGGCATACAAATGGTCACGGTCATGTGAGTGTGAAATTGAAATCTCTCCATTGCTTGTGAAAGTGCCCGAGTGGCGCAACTGCTGGGTAGCCCCTGATGTGAAATTAATTAGGCCACTGCCTGTGGCCTTGATAATGCCAGCCAGCAGAAAAAAAGTAGGACGGGTGCCATTGGTTGATTGTGCCTATTACAGTAATGGCAGAGAGGCTAGGATAGCACTGTGGTGTGAAGTTTTGACCACTGCCTGCCGACTGGACAGGCGACCTTTGATCCCGCCTTTTGGAAACCCAATTTTCTCCAGGTGTATTTTCGGCAATTTTAGCGCGCTTTATTATTGACTTTGCGTTTACTTACCGTGTTTCAATTTCAAGCATCAGCGTTCTTACTGTTCTGAGCATCAACGATCTAAACGATCTTCTATCACTAGAGCATGGCTGACGTGCTGCAGTTAGCCACTGACCCAGCATGTCTTCCAATGCAGTATCTCCAAAGATCGTGCATTGTAGTAGAGAATCTTTGGTAACTCCACCGCCTTATAAAAAGTCTGTGGGTATACCAGGAAGTGATGACATCACATTACTAAAATTAGCAGCCAATCAGGAAGATGCATTATGTATATTTACCAACCCTGAAAGCCCCTGAAGGCTCAGGGCACAGCAGTTACGCCCCAAGGCAAATGTCTTATTTACATGTGACCGTTTGGATACCCGATTCTTTTCTTTACTA